TTGTTATTATTACAGCCAATTTATTTTTAAAAAAACTAAATAAAATAAAAATACATTTTTTTCTAAATGAGTGCTAATTTTTTAAAATTAGCTTGCAAAGCTTTTTGAAAATCTGGTAATAATATATATATAGATTTGCTAAGAAATTTTAAAAATTGATTGTTATTTTTTAAAAGGTGGTGCTGAAACCTTAAATAAAATGCTTTGCTATCGACGGGCCGGCATATTAATATTGTGTTGGCTGATATCATTGAGAAAAAAAATCTACATAAATTTTTTGATAGTTTTTTTTTACATAAGATTCATATGTAACCAAATTCTCTATATTTTTCTTAAAGGAAGGATTGTACAAACCATTTCCTTTGCGTCATCATATTCTACTAATCTCCTTTATTCCTTATGCCAAAAGTAAATCCTCCATTGATTCCTTCACATCCTTCAACCACAAACTTATTTAGATCCCCGCCTAGCATAATGACCTCCTCTAGAAGCATTTAGATTTATGTTCTATTAAATTATCTCAGAATACATCTTTCTCTTTTTCAGCTCTACCAAAATCAGGGGCACACAAAATAAATTATTACTTTACAACTATCACTTTGTACTTACTTTTTCACGAGAAGAACATCAACCCCAGCGTTACTGCTGCTTTGCCAAAAGAACTTATACTTTGCATTTGTGATACCTATCATTCTCGCACATTTTCCTTTTTCATCTCCTTCTTTGACTCAACCCCTTTTCCCTCTTTTCCTGTCATACTTTCAGTATTCCACACATAGAAAACTTTACATTGTCACTACCAATCAAAGTTTTATCGTAGAGTCAAGCCATTATGACGTCATATGTTTCGCTTTCAAGATTTGCAGGTCGATCTATTCTCCTATTATTATTTTTTGGCAGATTATGCTCCCACGATATATTTTGAGCTTACCCCCCGCCCATTTTTTTGTTGTTCTCATAGAAGGAAGTAGAGCAAAATAAATACGATAGGGTAGCAGCCTATCTGGTAACAACCTAGTTGATTTATACAACTCGACGAAAAGGCGAATATCTTATTCTATCCCAGATTACATGGGGAAAAACCTTTTTATACCTCCAGGATCGTTTATATAAATTGAAAATAGATTCATCGTAGTATATAGGTAAGGGTCGTTGGGAACTTGTTATTAGAGTAATGCATTAGATATATTCAATCAAAAAGTTCATGATTTGGATTCAGTAATCAATTATATAAATGCTACTAACTTGTGTAGCCCTTATACGAGAACTGCAATCGGTATGCCAGAGTTGTTAAGATACCCTTTCAAAGAGATCTAGATACAGAGGATACAGATAGAATTTTTTATATACTTAAATAAGTTTTATTTAAGATTCAATAGTTAAAATTAAAATTTTGAAGTAAGCTAAAAAATTTATTGAACTGATATCATATGTATATATAGGTGTGCATATATATGTCGTAAATTTTAAAGGGATAATGACTATCCGGGATCTTCACGGGTTTTAATAAAAATTTAGGGTTTTAAGTTAAGGAATTATAATACGGTATTATCACGTTTTACCGTGATAAAGAGGAATCTTATTTTAAAAAGCGTTTTATGCGCGTTTCGTTTTATTTCTTTTTAATTTTATTGTTATTTATAAATTTTCAATGTTGTTTTATTGGTCTTATGAAATAAGTTAGGTCTAACATAGGGTATCAATCGAGAGCTAATAAAAAGATCTATTCAACTGGAGGTCAATCTCTCCGCCGTAATGGGCGAGTCTAGGTCTGGGGGGTCAGGAATATTTTTATAAACATAAAATATCGATATGGGTATCAAACAAAAGCTAATTTAAATATCTTTTGACTGAAAGCATTTATTCTTGGTCTTGGTGGGTTATGACTTGGTCTTGGGGGGGGGCGGATAGAGGGGGGTGGGGTTAAAAAATAGTTTTTTTGATATGGGTATCAAAAAAAAGGTAATTTAAATATCTTTTGACTCTAAGCATTCATTCTTGGTCTCGATGGGCATGACTTGGCCTGGGGGGTGAATGAAGAGGGGGGGGGTAAAAAAATAAGTTTTTTGATATTGGTATCAAATAAAAGGTAATTAAAATATTTTTTTTATTGTAATAATAATAATCACTAAAAGCGGGTGGGTCTAGGTCTTGGGGGGTCAGGAATATTTTCATAAACATAAAAATCAATATGGGTGTCAAATAAAAGCTAATTTAAATTTCTTATGACTGAAAGTCTTGGCCGTGATGGGTATGACTTTGTCTGGGGGGGGGAGTAAAGAGGGGGTGGGGTAGGGGGTAAAAAAATAATTTTTTTTGATATGGGTATCAAATAAGAGGTAATTAAAAAGTGTTTTTATTGTAATAATAATAATAATCAGTGGGAGGGTCTAGGTCTTGTGGGGTCAAGAATATTTTTATCAACATAAAATATCGATATGGGTATCAAATAAAAGCTAATTTAAATATCTTTTGACTGAAAGCATTCATTCTTGGTCTTGACGGGTATGATTTGTTCTGGGGGGTGGGTGAAGGGGGGGGGGGTAAAAAATAAGTTTTTTTGATATGAGTATCAAATAAAAGCTAATTTAAATATCTTTTGACTGAAAGCCTTCATTCTGGTCTTGATGGGTATGACTTGGCCTGGGAGGTGGATAAAGAGGGGGGGGGGTAAAAAAAATAAGTTTTTTTGATATGGGAATCAAATAAAAGATAATTAAAATATTTTTTTTACTGTAATATTAATAATCACTTAAAGCGGGTGGGTCTAGGTCTTGGGGGGTCAGGAATATTTTTATAAACATAAAATATCGATATGGATATCAAATAAAAGCTAATTTATTTTGACTGAAAATATTCATTCTTGGTTTTGATACAGGCGAGTACGCAGCGGGAGGGGAGCAGGGGGACAAATCCCCCCCCCCCCCCAAAGCCAAAAAATGCAGATGCCGGATATATTTTTCAAAAATATTTTTGTTTATATTTTATAATATTTATTCCTATCTCTTTCTTTTTAAATATATATTTAATTAATCACATTCATTTACTAAGTTATTTTATCAATTAATTTCGATTTCAAGTTTTCCTTGGCGTAAATTCATCTATTATTTTCAAATTTCTAATGGCGTAATATTTATCCATCATTTTCAAATTTCTAGTCAAATAATAATTATGGACATAAGAAATTTTTTAAACATATTGATCCTAAATCTTACAAAAAAGCAAAAAAGTACAAATACTTTTATAACATTTTATAACTAGCCTAAAAGAAAGACATATACTTCTTAAAAAGGCATAAAAGATACCTATGATAAATATTTTATTTAATAATAGATATATATTCCACCCCTAATATCCACAAATTATATGTGCTAATCGAAAGTTAAAATTTCAAAACAGCTATTTTACTAGATGGTTATGGCTAGCATACTCTATCCGAGACAATGGAGCTTATTGCAAGATATGTATCTTGTTTGACCCAAGATATGCTGGAAGAAATTTAGTTATGCTTAACAGTCTTGTTAAGAATCCATTCAACAAGTACAAAGATGCTGGAGAAATCTTTGACAATCATCAAAAAATAAATTATCACAAAAGCTGTGAACTGATGATTTCTTCAAATTAATTCAAAATGGGGATATGATTCCCATTTTATCACATATTGACAAAAATAGAAATAAAATAGCAAAAGAAAATAGATGTAAGATCAAACTAAGTAGAGGCCATTCTATATTGTGGATTGCAGGTCATAGCATTACGTAGCCATTCGGATTCAAGAAGCTTGAATTTCAATAATAAAGATACTGAAGATAACTTTCGTGGTCTTGTAAAATTTAAAGCATTAGGGGATTCTGCATTAATGGTAAACCCCAAGCAACATAATATTTTAAACAGAATTATTTCTGAAACTCTTTGTCCAACAATGAGAAAAAAATTGCAAAAAGCTTGTCCAACGAGATGGAGTCCTCGCCATCAAGCAGTAACAGCTTTTATGGAGTAAGAAGAACCGATTATTAATGCTCTTACTGAAATATCACAATGGCCTGAAAGAGATATTTCCTCAGAAGCAAGCAAATTATTGGATTAAATCCTTATACCAAATTATACAAATATTTTATGTAATACTTTTAAAAAACATGACATTGCTTAATTGAGACGATGAGAGTAGCGGAGAGCATTTTTTTAGAACTCAAGAAAATTAGGGCTATTGTTGATGAAGAATTTCATATTTTATATATTGTTGAATCAAAGGCAGAGCTATACGAGTTTAATATTTGTCTCCCTCGACTTGCAGCAAGACAAACTCATCGTCCAAACATTAATATAGGGTAAGTAGAAATTATAAAATAAATGTCTTTATCCCTCTCTTAGATACATTTATAACCCAAATAAATGAACGGTTTTTAATTCATCAGGCAGCACTTACCAATCTGCAGATATAACTTCCATAAAAACCTTCCCAACCTTTTTCAGATGGTGATAGAAAAAAATAAAATATTTAGCAGATTTTTATCATGAAGATGTTAAATTATCTTATGATGCCTTATTAGCTGAATGCCAACTATGGTATAAAAGATTAACTATGGTTGATATAAGCCCAAAAAATGCTATGAATGCTTTGCATCATTTCAAACATAGATTATTTTTCCAATGTATTAAAATTATTAATTCTCGATAAAAAAAATTAACACAGGGTATAAATTTTTGCCGTAAGATGTGATAGAAGGTTTTATCATCAAACAAGACTAGTAGCTTCAACATGAAAAAACATAACGGTAATATATCAAATAAATTCAATGTCAATGTGTAGCTCAATCCTTAATCTGTAAAATAAAATTAGAGCATCTATGATAGTTTTTGAGCTAGATGAGTTTATATGAAAGTTGATTTTCTGCCCCAGTCTAAACATGATATGTTTCAACATAGGTGCGCTATTTTTAAAATAAAATTATTGATTTGTCTAAAAAAATATTTATAGATAAAATGGTCAAACTATGTTAATGGATGATTTTCCAGGGGTAATATTCGCACATTCGCGACCACGCCACCCAGAAACCAATGGTTTAATTGAGCGAGCAAATGGAACTTTAGAGTCGCGAATAAGCGGTTACATGTTGGAAACAAAAAAATATGATTGGGCGACTGCGCTCCCTAAAATTGTATTTAATATCAATCTAGGATTTTCTAGAACAATTAAAAATACCCCATTTAATGTATTTTTCGCTAGAACACCTTATTCGGTTGATAGCGAACCGGAAGTGATACCAGAAATAGTTAATGTGGATTCTGATCATGAAGAAATGAGTAAAAATCTATAATATTTAAGAGGGCTCAATATAAAAAATAATATATCGAGATTTATAAAAAAAAAATTAAAATTTTTAAGGGCTATATAATTTTCAAAAATTTAAATCTCCGCATCGCCACCAGCCTCCGAATAAAAAATAATTATTTTATATTTAAAAATATTTACCCCCTAATTCTATAAAGGTTTGGTTCATCTTTTCCGAGGTTAACATCAAGAGAAAACCCATTAGAATATCCTGGTGAAATCAGTAATAATAAAATATGTTAGAATTAAATATATAATTGTAACTCTTAAATTTTTTAAAGGTTTAATTCAAAATTTATAAAAAAAATTAATAATTTTCAGAAAATTTAAACCTCTGCATCGGCACAAGCCTCCAAATAAAAAATCATTATATATTTAAATATATTTACCCCCTAATTTTATAAAGATTTGGTTCATACGATTCCGACATCAAGCGAAAACTCATTGATAGAATATGATCCTGATGAAATCAGTAATAATAAAATATGCTAGAATTAATATATAAATTGTAACTCCTAAATTTTTTAAATAAATTTTTTTTATAATTTTCAGAATATTTAAAATTCTGCATCGCCACTAGCCTCCAAATAAAAAATCATTATATTTAAATATATTTACCCCCTAATTCAATAAAGGTTTGGTTCATACTCTTCCGAGGTTATCGTCAAGCGAAAACTCATTGATAGAATATGATCCTGATGAAATCAGTAATAATAAAATATGTCAGAATTAATATATAATAGTAACTCCTAAAATTTTTTAAAGGTTTAATTCAAAATGTTACACCAAGCTCACCGTTAAATGATAACTTATTGATCGATTCTAGTCCCGATGAAATGAGTAAAAAATGAATGATAATAAATATTGTAAACTTAAAATTAAAAGGTTTAATTTAAAATTCTATTTGAAGTTCATCGTATAATGTCAATGGATTGATAAATTATTCTTTTATCTGATGAATATAATAAATTTAATGAATATTTTACTAACTCTAGCCTACTAATTTAACTCTTCATTTTTATATTTTATTTTAAACCAGATTTCCCCAGTGTTTCAAATTCAACATATACAAATACTTTATTTCTTCTTTATAACCAGAATAGTAGTAATACTCCTGAAGGTATAGTTATTGCACAAAAAATAAAAAGGAAAAATTCATACGAATCATATTATAATATTCAATATATTCTTTCGGACAAAACGAAATATAAAATAGGAAACACAATTGCATGGCAAGATAAAAATACAACTAATTCAATTGGGAATACTATAGAAAATATTTTAGCAAGATTGCTTCCTTTATTGCATATTTATTGGATAGGAATAAGCAACATAATGCTTACCAAAATAAAATTAAAAAATAAAATTATCTAGGGATCACGTACTGATCCCAATAAATAAAAATGATAGGTCTAATATATGCCCCAAAAATATTGAGGCCAAAATTATCCAAATGGAGGGCGATAAACTATGGGTTGGAACTCAATTGTGAAAAATTGATTCACCATTTTTAAAAACGAGTGTTCATAAATCAATAAAATTTTCCAATTTAACCATTCCTGATATGACCATTTCCATAATAACAGCATCAAGAAGTGCATCTTCTTATGGTAATTGTAAATCAATTTGCAATTGCCAAAAAAGTTGCAACAATAAGAGATGCCAATCTTTTAAAAATGGGATTAATTGTTCCACAAAATGTCATTTAAATATTACTTGTAATAATAAATAACTGTTCAAAATTATATTTAAATTTCAATTATCAAAATAAAATAAAATATGTGTTGATTACATGGTTTGAAGAAAAATATAATAATAAGGATGATTTGCTTCTAAAGATGTGTAATAATTTGTAACTGTAGAAAGAAAAATTTAATATGTCATTTTAAAATTTGTGAATCGATGGTTTCAAATATAGCCAGGAATTTTGAGATTTAAATATATAACATATTAGAATAAGTTGTGAGCAAATAATTTTATTAGGTTACAATAAGTTTTTAAAAAGCATTGACAATGAGCTCTGCTTATAGTGATATTTATTATTGAAGTCTAAATATGTTGTATTTAATTTTATTTACCCATGTTAATGTTCTATAAGAATAAAAATATTCATAACATTTTAATACGCCCGCTTAGAGAAATAAAATCAATATAATCAACCCCTCCATCCACCCACCAAACCAAGTCATACCCATCAAGACCAAAAATGAATGCATTAAAAGAAATTTAAATTTTTTATTTGATACCCATATCGTTTTTATGTTTATAAAAATATTCCTGACCCCCCAAGATCTAGACCCACCCGAGTGATTATTATTACAATAAAAAAATATTTTAATTACCTTTTATTTGATACCCATATCAAAAAAACTTATTTCCCAACCCCCTTCATCCACCACCAGACCAAGTCATACCCATCAAGGCCAAAAATAAATGCTTTCAGACAAAAGAAATTTAAATTAGTTTTTATTTGATACCCATATCGATTTTTATGTTTATAAAAATATTCCTGACCCCACAAGACCTAGACCCACCCGCTTAAAGTGGTTATTATTATTACAATAAAAAAATATTTTAATTATCTTTTATTTGATACCCATATCAAAAACTTATTTTTTACCCCCCCCCCCCCTCTTCATCCACCCCCCAGACCAATTCATACCCATCGAGACCAAGAATGAATGCTTAGAGTCAAAAGATATTTAAATTACCTTTTTTTTGATACCCATATCAAAAAAACCATTTTTTAACCCCACCCTCCTCTATCCGCCCCCCCCCAAGACCAAGTCATAACCCATCAAAAGAATGAATGCTTTCAGTCAAAAGATATTTAAATTAGCTTTTGTTTGATACCCATATCGATATTTTATGTTTATAAAAATATTCCTGACCCCCCAGACCTAGACTCGCCCATTACGGCGGAGAGATTGACCTCCAGTTGAATAGATCTTTTTATTAGCTCTCGATTGATACCCTATGTTAGACCTAACTTATTTCATAAGACCAATAAAACAACATTGAAAATTTATAAATAACAATAAAATTAACTTTTAAAAATAAGATTCCTCTTTATCACGGTTCAAACGTGATAATACCGTATAGTTCTTTATCCTTTTAAAAATTGAAATTTTAAAGGGATCCCTTTAAAACCAGTGAAGATCCCGGATAGTCATGATGCCTTTAAAATTTACGACATATATATTGGGAATAAATAAATTTATTATCCACTTCTAACTCATAAATTTTAAAAATGTCGAGTGGAGCATACCAATTCTAGACCGACAACGTGTTAAAATAATAGGTGGGGTGAAAAACGATTAAATTCGTTGGATTCCAATAATTGGTGAATATGCAATCAATGTTTAAGGTGTAAGAAATTTATTTTACTTGTCAAATAAATCTAAACCTGTCTTAAAATATATTTTTTTAATATCTAAATTTGTTATACCAATTATTTTCAATTATCAAATATGTATATACACTTTATAATATTTATAATTCGAAAATTAATTTTATTTTTCGACAATTATTTATTAAACACTTTTATAATATTATTATTAAATTAAATACCATACATAATCTATATAAATTTCTATAATTGATCAATAGAAGTTGATTTTACCTAATAATTATATATTTTATTGTAATATGTCAAGTTAGTTGATTTAAAAATAATTATTTTATGTTATATAACATTAAAATATGATAGGTTTTAAAATATTTTTCCATAAATTTTTAACAACTCTCTTTATATAAAATCGTTTAACCTGCCATAATTATATATAAATTATCTTATATTTTAAAAATGGTAAAAAAAAAATAAATGGGAGATTTTAAACACTAGATAAATTTGTGATTCAGAAGCTTATATTTTGGAATTAACGCTCCGAAGCGTATATAACTCTAAATTCATAGTTAGAGCTGAATTCACGGCTAAATATATAAAATATGTAATTTCTGTATTCTTCCGCCACGAATTAGCGCGTTAACTAAGTATTCCGAGTTAATAAACGAGTATTGCTTAGATAATTTGGTGCGATTAGTATTTTTTTTATCGTTGATATAGCGTTTGTCTTTTTTTTAGTATAATTATATTATTTTTTTGGTCAAATGAATATGTTTATTTTACAGATTTGTCCCTAATATTTTAATAGGCAAGAGAATTTGATCAGTTAAATGTTATCTTTAAAAATAAATATATCCTTCCAAGATTATATGGAGGAGGAAATCCCTATAACCTTTCCCCCCCCCTAAGTGAAGCGAAATTCCAAGGATTATTCCAATGAATATTAATGAGATAATAAAATCTTCAAAGAAATTTGATCCCCCCCCCCCCATTTCCTCCTCTTTTAAAATATTGCCCTTTCCATCAGTATTTGTTTAAAAATATTCTTATTATAATACAAGAAATAAAAAATTAAAATATTGTTTGCAATTTATATATCTTCCTGGGTGCTTTTAATGCCTTTCATTTTACAAAAGTATTATTTCTTTTTAAAATAAATGTTTTATCAAAAAAAAAATTTTTTGTGTCTAGTATTAGATCTGGTTATTAATTTTTCTTTTTTTAAACGTATGAAATTACAGATTTTTCTTTCTACTGTTTTTTATTCTTATTTTGTTTATTCTTTACGTTTTTTTTCCTTGAGGTATTATTCTCGCAGTTTTTTATTCGTAGTTTTTTTCAGCAGGCTTTTGTTTCTCATCGCCAGCAATATATATATATATATATATATATATATACCTTAAAAATTAAGGGATATAGGTTGATTGAGCTGTCAACTTTTAATATTACAAAAATATTTTTTTTCTTAGGATAATGTATTTTTTTGTGGATTTTGAATCGTTAATAGATTTGCAAGAGCATAACCGTTTAGATCTGAGACATAATTTGCATTCACGATAATCTGCCTTGTTAATAATTTAATTTATTGCCAAGGATTTTTTTAATAATAATTAGTACAATTTGAAATCGAAAATTACTGCTATGGTAGATGGATCTACTACGCTGTCTAATAAACCCGTCTTGGTTATTTGCATAATAGATAAATCCATTTTTAATTTCTAGACCTAATTTAGCTGGAATCTAAATGTTCATACCTTACTTGATTTTCTTAAATCCGTTGTTATTTCTTATTTTTTTGCAAATTTATTAGCAATGACCCCAGTACCGTGAAGAGATCTGTTGTTTAGAAAAGCGTCTTTGGGGTTTCATTTGATGATCATATCCTGGCACTGTTTAAATCACCGTTTAGATACGTTGCAATAAAGAGTAGACGTTATTCACTTTAGAGCTTTTACTATAGTTATTAGAGTCAGTCTAATTTTTTCGAAAGAGGCAATGTGGCTGAATTTGATGAAGATTAGAATACTTGTATCTAGCAATCTTCATACTGGCAGTTTGAATAAACTATCAAGCTTTGTATAACCCATTTTAAAAATTTAGCAAATTCTAGCAACAGAGCAGTATTTAAAGGGCTGGCCAACCGGGTTACAAAGTGGGGAATCATTTTCAGATATTGAATTGATGTATGATGATATTTAAATTAACCAATCTATCTTTAAGACTTCAGAATGAGAACAATCAATTTGATTAACGCTTAAAAAATAAATAAAGGGAACAATTCGCGTTTTCCAAAATTGTTTAAGGATAGGCATGGTAGGTTCCATGTTTATAATTTCTATGAATGTTTACTTAAAATTTTGTCGCCTAAATTAGGTTACTTCCATTTTTACACAAATCAATTTGTTTCTCCTTATATATATAAAACTCGACATACATGAAAGTTAAATTATAACCAATATAAAGTTAACCATCATATATCTTAAGAATAGTGTTGTTAAAGGGCTC